TTGTGACTGTTGTACTGAGGGTCTGGGCTCTGTAAGAACACGTCTTTCTAGTTGTGGGTTGTTGCTATCATGCTATAATTTCAAGCTTCTGCCCCTGCCATCTGCTTTGCCTTCTAGACGGCGTGTACCCCCAGGTGCAGTCTCAGCCAGGTAACTGGGAACAGGCGCTGTTGGGGTTCTGGGCATATCCTAGGCCCCTGCAAACTTTCTTTGCTTGTGTTGGTGTTCCTTTCTGCCATCCGGCACAGTCATTTTTCTGCGGCCTGAGGGACCAGTGTTCAGGAAGCGGCCTGTGGTCCCTTCCCCAGCCACTCATGTGATTTCCTCCCTGGGCCTGCCACGTGTGAAGCTCTCACGCGAGTTCCTGTCTTACTGTGAGTCAGCCCCCCCACCCCCCTGAGATTGCTGATTCTGCCGGTGGAACCAGGCCACCCGTCTGGCCCTCAGCACAGCTGTGGCAGACAGGCATGGTAGCTCATGACTGTGATTCCAGCACCCAGACCTGAGGTAGGAGGTCAGCCAGCAGTTCAGGCCTAGACTGAGCTGCGCAGTGAGACTCTGTCCTGACCTCCTAGCTGAGGCATCCCTGGCTGGGACCATAGGTAGCCTTCCCGCTATCTTTTTATGTGCCGCAAGCTGGCCCTGCCCAGCCCGGACAGTGTCCACTCTTAAGCAATGCCGCTCTGTGGCCCGGGGGCTTTTCAAAGGAGGCTGTCCGTCTTCAGGGTTTATGGTTTCATTCTCCTGCAACTTGCTGACAATCATTTTGTCAAGTATGGACAAGAGGGAGTCAGGATTGCCTTCAGCTTGCTTTCTGGTCTCAACTCCCCAAGCAGTGTCTTTCAGAAGCACACCCCTGGGCTTCGAGCCCCTCAAACTGTGTGTTCCGAGGGTCTGGCTGGATGGCCGCCTCGTGCAGGTGATGTGGGCGTGCAGGCCTGGGGCTGCCTATGGCTGACTCATGCCCAGGGCGTTTGTTTTCTAGTCAATAAAGGCACGCAGTTGCTTAGGTTAGTCCTCACAGCGTCCAGTCTAGGCAGCCTTGGAATGTCCAGGTGGGTGGGCAGATTTGATCAAGCCCCCATGCAACTGGTGAGGCCTCTGAGGCCCAGAGATGGGAAGTGACTTGTCTCAGGTCACACTGTAAGTCTCAGACAAGCAGGGTTGAGAATTAGAAATGTGGACTCCAGCTCTGTTGCCTAGGATCTGGGTGGTCCGTCTCTGAGGGCAAGAAGGTCTTTGTCTATTCCACTAGGAGCCCTCTGCTCATTTCTGGGCCTCAGGGCAGAAATGGTTGTGGCCTTCTTCTGGGGATTTTGGTTATAAACTTCACCGAGGGAAGATGGCCAACGTAAGAGGACTGTAGCCAAAGCTAGTCCTCTGAGATGAGTGGCCACCTCCTCCCTGCCCTGCCTAATAGCAGCTCCAGCAGGGCTTCCAGTTAGGGGCTTGATGGGGACCTAGGCCCAGGCAGCAGGGGGAGCAGTCCAGGTGTGTAAACAGCATAGAGAAGGTGGGCGGTCAGGGATGGTACAGGAGAGTGATTGGTCTTCCTGGGAGGATCCCATATCTGCTCAGGGCAGAAGCTACTGGGCCACGGCTGGGTGGCGGAGCTGGACAGAGCAGTTGGGCCAAGGTGTCCTGGGTGCTATCAGCTCATCTGTGCTCTCACCCTGTCTGACCTATTGGTGAGGTAGGACGCCATCAGCCTGGTGACGAGAGGAAGCCCAGTGCATTCTGACGACCCCTCACTCACTCCAGGTGGCACAGGAGCAGCAAACGGCAACCTTGTGGGGGGTCGAGGCCAGAGAAAGTGAGAAGGGAGCCAGAGGAGGCCCGGCGGAAGGAGGAGCATGAAATGGATTCGTCCCACAGGTAACTGAAGTTTAGGAAGGGAATCTCACCGTGAGAGAAGTAAGTGCAGTCTCTTCTATCAAAAACAGACAAAAGAGGACCACAGGAGGCCGGGTGTGCTGGCTGGCAGGCAGCTGTCATCCCAGCAGGCAGATCCTGGTGAGTTCCTAGCCAGCCAAGAAGTGACACCCTGCCTCAGAAAAAACAAAACACAAAGTGAAAAACTAAAAAAATCAAAAAGCACACAGGACTGCTACCTTTGCCACACTACCTTCTACCTTGTTAACTTCTTCACCTCCTCAAACTTGGTTTAAGCAGAGGCCTTGCTACAGGACCCTACTTCTTTCTTTTTTCTTTCTTTCTTTCTTTCTTTCTTTCTTTCTTTCTTTCTTTCTTTCCTCTCTCTCTCTTTCTCCCCCTCCCTCCCACCATTCCTTTCTTTCTTTTTTTTTTTTTTTTTTAATTAGGCAACTATAAAAAACATGAGAAGAGACCCCAGCCAGTGGGGAGGAAAGAGTGTCCTTATGCTGTGACAAAAATCTAAGGAACATGCCACCTGGATAAAGCAACTCACTGCACTATTTTGAAAGTCAACGTTGCCAATGCAGACTTTTGCTTTAGGTGAGCGTGTGCCGTTAGCATAGCCCTCCGACTCCAGATTTCATTTCCTACAGTCATGAAGCTGCAAAGCCATTTCTTTCTGGGCTATTTCTGGTCTTTTTCTTCTACACAAAGTTTTCTCTTTTCTTTGTGTACCCTGTCTCCAACTTTCAAGATCCCTGTCTCGGGGACCACAGCTTGGCAGCGACGCTCTTTGCATGGCTCTTGTGAAGACGGTGTGCTGACAGGGTCCCTCAGTGTAATGGAGTCCGTCAGCCACAGCCTTGGCTCCAGGAAACCACTGGGAACACATCTAGACGGTGCAGACTGGGAATGGGGAAGGGGGATGTTCTGCTTTTGGGGTTCTGATGTCCCAGGAACCCCAGGGAGGAAGTGCAATGTACCCTAACCCACTGGCCTGGGCTTCTGAGCTCTTCAGTGCAGCGCTGAGGGAGGCAGGCCAAGCAGCCATCACTCCTTCTGGAATTCTGTTTGCCAGAGAGGAAGCCGAGGCAAGAGAGGCAGAGTGCTCTGGGAGCAGATAAGCCGGCGCCTGACTGGACTGGCCCACCACTCCTTGCTGTGAATGTCTGAGCCGCAGGGACTGTGTGGTGTGGTGCCTCCTCCCCTGGCCCGCTGCCCTGCTCCAGTGAACACTGCATTGCCAGTCTCTGGTGAGACAGGTCCTCTACCCTGAACCTCCCCGGTTCATCTCTCCCTTCAGTTCTTGCCTCACTAATGTTATACCTAACACCACTGCCCAGGGCTTCCCTCCTAATGTGCCCCCAGCATCTTATTTGTCTCTAGCTGTGGGGACAAGGAGCAGCCTGCTGGCTTCAGACAGCCCAGCACATTCCTGGAAGTGGCCAAGCTAGCCAGGCTTTCTTCGGTTGCTTCACCTGTTGGCGACACTAGCTCCTTTGAATGAGCAGCCTCCTCCAACATTTGACAGCTGCGATCCCAGCCCCAGCAATTGATCACATTATCTCGGCGGGACTCACAGGTAAGTTAAGCAAGGCCCTCAAGCTCACACAGTGAATGGTTAACTTGACCTTCAACATTCAGAAACCTGAGTCCATTCGAAAATCTTCCTCTGCTATAAAAAGACTTGGCCATCTCCTGTTAGGAAGTATCTGTTCCTAGACAGGTTGGTTGGATCCTGTTGGGCTCTAAGCAGGGAACGCTAAGCAAATATCACAACCCGTGTTTGGTAGAAAGCTGCTGTTTCGCACTGGCTCCCTCAGCCCCTCTCTAAGAGTCCTCCCTAGACCTTATCACGAAGCAGCACTTGCCTGGCTCGGCAGGGAGACAGCTCTGCCTTGGGCGGATCTGGGTGATGATGTGCCCTTATTTGACCCTACAGGCTGGCAAGGCCTGGAAAATGTCAGCTCTCACTTGCTTCTACAGTTTTCAAGAAGTTTCCTTTGCTTCCAGCACACTCTGCAAAGTGCATGCTGGGACTGGTGGGTCTGTTTCTTGTTGTCAAATCTCTTTAAGATGTACTTTGAGGGAGTTCCAGCCAAAACACCATTAAAAAAAAAAAAGATGCACTTTGGGCACGATGCATGGCGTTTCATACCTGTACATGATGCACGGCGTTTCATACCCGTAACCCCAGCACCTGGGAGGCTGCGGGAGGAGCAGGTCCACAAATTCAAAGCCAGCCTGGTCTACGCGATGAGTTCAGGACTAGCTAGGGCTGCAGAGTGAGAAGCTGCCTCAAAACCACACAGGCTGAGATGTGGCTCACCTGGTAGAGGGCTTGTTTACCATGCATAAAGCCCTGGGCTCCACAGTCCCGGCACGACACAAAGCTGGGCACGGGCAAAGGCACGGTGAAGATCCTGCTAGCGGAGGCAGGGTGAGCAGAAGTTCGCCATCTCTGCCTACACAGCAAGGTCAAGGGCATTTAAAGATATAGAAGACTCCTAAGTGTCTCCCCACCTCCGCAGCTGCTCTTCAGAGGTGGAAGGGCTCAGAGCCCTGCCCCTCTTATGGGCGAGTGTGTTTGTGGCAATCACCTGGGCAAGGCTGTTCCACTTCTGTGTTCACACTCTGTGTCCCCATGAGCAGCCATTTCAACACCGAAGATGGAGGTAGCAGCTATCACGGAGTACAAAGTCATTTTTGTCATTTGAGACAAGGTCTCAAGGTTGTATATGCTGGTTGTAATTCTAATTTTTATACTTGGTATCTGTTCTTATCGTATATAGTTTTGTATTGGGTTTGGAACACTCTTATTTAAACAAAAGGGGGGTGCTGAGGGAGCTCCTTAAGCCAATGGCCTTTGAGATGCTGGTGGCTTTGGGTACTATATAAACAGATGTAGAAGCGTGCACATCTGTCTTGGCTGCTGGATTCGGTTCCTGTCCCTGCTCGTGCAGAGGACTGTGATCTGAGTCTACCCCTAAATAAAGAACGCTTTATTATGCTCCATTCTGGGCTAGTGTGGGACTACTTATTGTAACCACCAACAATGGAGGAAGCATAGTTGTACACAGATGAGGTAGATGAACCTCGGGGCAGTACACAGATAATAGAAATGGGTAGTTTAAGTCTAAAAATAAAAGCTAGCTAAAAAGAAGCCTGGGCTAAGGCCAAGCATTCATAATTAATAAGCCTCCGTGTCATGATTTGGGGTTGGAGATCCAAGAAAGCTGGCTACACAGGAGCTGTTTAGGGGAGTGGGGTCTGTTTCAATCTGTTTTCTGTTGCTATAAGGGAATACCCGAGAGTGGGTCACATATAAAGAAAAAAGTTCAATTAGCTCAAAAGTTTAAAGGCAGTGAGGTATCTACGATCACAACACCTGATTAGTTTCTGGTGAGACTTTGTGTGGTTTGACTCATGGCAGAAAGTGAAACCATGATGGGACACACATGCTTTAAATGTACTTGTGAGATCATTAATTAGGTGTTTTTTTTTTTTTTTGTCAACTTGACACAAGCTAGAGTCATCCATCAGGGAAGAGGGAACCTTAATTGAGGGACTGCCTGGAGGCAAGTCTGTGGGACATTTTCTTGATTCACTGCTGCTGTGTGAGAGCCCCTGCCCACCACGGGTGGAGCCACCACAGGACAGGTAGCCAGGGGTGGAATGGGAAAGCAGGCTGAGCCAGGTTAGAGCGAGTAAGGAGCACTCCTCAGGGCCTCTGCTTCAGTTCCTGCCTTGAGTCCCTGCCCGGCCTTTCCTCAATGGTGGAGGGGCGGACTGAAAGCTGTAATAAGCCTTTTCCTCCCCAGACTGCTTCTGGTCATCGTCTATGGCAGCAGAAGAAAGCAAACTAGGGCACTAATAAAGTCTTAGAGAATTAGCCCACAGGAAAGGCCCTCTCTTCGAGGCCCCACCATCACCACCCACGATGACATTAACATTCCAGCTTGCTTCTGCATTCTGATTGGCTGTGGTTTTCTGTAGCGGTCTCCATCTGCTGCACAGAGAGGTTCTTCGACTAGGGGTGCAGACTACGCTTCCCTGTGGGTATAGGGACAAGTATTTAGACTGTAGTTAGGGATTAGGCTGATTTAGTAAAGTGTTGTAGTTCTTTTACATATATGCATAGAACAGCAATTAAAGTAGAAAGGCCATGAATTTGAAAGAGAGCAAGGAGGGGTATGTGGGAGGAAAGGAAGGGAAAACAATATAAGCATAATTTTTAAAATCAAAGAAATAATAATAATACAACTCAGCAGAAGAAGTCTTCCACCAACCAGCTCCCAAACCATGACATGGAGACAATATTAATTATGAATGCTCTTAGTTTGTGTTTGTCCCACTAGCTCTTAAAACTTAAGTTAACCTGTTTCTCTTCATCTATGCTTTGCTTCAGGGCTTTTTACCTTTCTTACCTTCTGTGTCTGCCTGGCTGGGGCCAAGTTTGTCTCTCTCTCTCTCTCTCTCTCTCTCTCATTCTTTCCTCCTCATTCTAGAATCTTCCTCTTATTCTCTCTACTCTCCAGTCCCGCCTAATCCTCTACTCCTAGCTATTGGCCATTCAGAGTTTTAATCAGACCAATCAGGTGCTTTAGACAGGCAAGGTAAAACAAATTCAACATATATTTACATAATTACATAATTAAAGAAATGCAACATAAACAAATCTAACACATCTTCTAGTTAAGGTAATATTCCACAACATAAACAAATGAAATATATCTTTACATAGTTAAAGTAATATTCCACAACATAGGTCAGATATGTGGCTCGGCTGACAGTCTAACATGCACGAAGCTCTAGGTTCAATCTCAGTAGCACACAAACGGGGCAAAATGGCACACATCTGCAATTGCAACACACAGGAGGCGAAAGTGGAAAAATCAAGATTGAAGGTCATTCACAGCTACACAGAAAGGAGGCTAGCTTGGAGTAAGCGAAACTGTCTCAACAACAGTTTCCAAGGACACAGGGTCCTTGCAGAGATCTGGGTCCCCACCACCTTCTGCCTGGGCTGGTGACTTGGCCAAGGGTGACTGTCTCTCAAAGCGAGGGAGGCACCAAACTGTGGAGGTTTCTGATTAGGAAGGAGCTCTCCAGATGGCGAGACAGGGGTCTGTTCTTTCTAGTAGGTGAAGGGAAAACAAGAAGGTACAGAGCACCCCAACAGGATGACCAGACCCCAGCTCCCTGGCCTCCAAGTCCCACTGCCAGTCCAGCTCCTGTGCAGACTCCGTGTCATCCATGGCTGGCGCCCTACCCCATCCCTTACTCTTACAGTGCTTTGGCTGTCATTCTTTTTCTGGAGGTGCCATCTTGCTGAGGGCTAGGGCTGGAGGTGGGGCCAAATATTTGTAGCGAATCTGACCAAAGGGATACCACAGCAGGGCATGGTAGTGTATGTATGCCTGTGATCTGTTACTTGGGAGTTCAGGGCTAGCCAGAGACACAGAGTGGGACCACATGGCCTGCCTCTCCTTAAAGAGAGGATAAGCCACAACCTCCAGGGACAGAGGCAGCGACAAGGCAGAGGCTGTTCACCGTGGGGATGAGAAACTGAGCCGGTTCTGGTGGTGGTGACCTATAATCTCAGCTACTCTGGAGGTTGAGGCAGGATTGCAAATACGAAGCCTTCCTAGGCAATTTAGTGAGACTCTATCTCAAGAACTGAAGAGAGCTGAGGATATGGCTAAGTGGGGATGCTTGGATAACACGTGTGTAGACCATTTCAACCCCCGAGGAGCTTGGCAGGGTCACAGGGCTTACAGTCACTTGACTTCTGAGGTCAGGGCAGCGTCCTGATGGTTCTACCTAGGCTATCCTGGCACCAAGCACAGACAGTTGCGAGGTGATGCCGCTGAGTGGTGCTGGAGTAGGCCTGTGCTACTGCACAGTTAACCTCCAGCTACACAGCACAGCCACCAGATGTTGACAATCCTCTGTGACAATAACGGGGTTGCTGTCAGTCCCGGAGGGAGGGAGCTCGAGGTCTCGCCTATGGAAGGATGCTGAGCTCCTGCTGGCCTCTGGCTATAAGTCTTGGTGTCTCTGCAGTCCTTCCTTCCAGGTCAGGGTGTCAGGCTGTTAATGATCACAGGCCCCCGGTTTCTCAACTCCAATCTTACCCTGTTCCAAGGGTCACTGCCTGGGGTTTTTCTTTCCATGAGGAAGTCTTCCCTGGGGGAGGTGGAGCCCTGCCTTGGCAAAGGGTCACACAGTTCCCAGCAGAGTCTGAGATAGTGCCAGGCCAGGCTGGCCCTTGTATAAGAATCACTGTCCCTGTATGGTATCTATGTGGCAGACAGGTCTTTTGTGGGTGAAGACTTCAGTCTAGAAGCCATACAGAGAATCATTCCAGCACCTCCTGTTGGTCCCCAAACCAAACAGCACACTTGACTGGATATAAGGACCTAGCTAGCCCCAGGAACTCAAGTTCTGTCTTCTTGGTTGTCCTCTTTGTTTGATTTTTGTTTTTATTTTTTTTTTTTGAGACAGGGTTTCTTTGTGTAGTCCTGGCTGTCCTGGAACCTGTTCTGTAGACCAGGCTTGCTCTGTAGACCAGGTTGGCCTTGAACTCAGAGATCTGCCAGCCTCTGCCCGCCGAGTGCTGGGGATAAAGGTGTGCACCACCAGGCCAGACTTGGTGGATTGTTATTCCAGTCGTCAGAGGTTCACAGGTGTGAACAGGTGTGAAAGCTACCCTCACCACTGTGTAGCTTGTTCCCTCCTCCTCCCCTGCCAACAGGGAACACATGGCTGAATGAAATAGAGGAGAAAAAGCAGGAGACTGTTTTGGAAGCCCAAGCCTGCAAAGTCTGCTCCCTGGAGCTTTGTTCTGCTCTGCTTAACTGCAGACACTGAGCCCTTGCCCCAGAGCGTCCAGGAGCTATGCACAGAGACCACAGCACCCTGCAGGGTCACGCAGGAAGTGGCCTCCTGTGTGAGACCCATTGACTTGCCTCTTTGGTCTCCATCAGGGAGGTTATACAGAGGCTGTGGGGGTTGACTTATGAGGCTGTCAGAGCTATGAGGGGACTCTGTCCAGGCCATGGCCCCTCTGCTTAGAGGCCTCAAGCAGACTGGAAGCTGGGCTTCCAGGCCTATAGAAGTCCCCTACCTACACAGTTGTGGAGCTGAGAGAAGAGATTCAGCCAGGCTTCTGGAGTTTTCGAAGGATGGAGGGACTCTCCCAGGCTGTGGTGGGAGGTGGAGGTGTATCAGTTTCTCAAGAAGAGCAGGGCCCTGGGGCTTCATCTCCTCTTGCGGAGAAAGCTGCAGCTGAGCTGTGCTGGCTGACACTGCAGACTGGCTGTCCCTGGAGCCTGCTGCAAGGGAGTAGAACAGGTCAGGGCAGGTGGCCCCTGAGGCTTTGGAAAAATGGGGCTGGAAGAGGAGGCTGGGAGTGCTTAGAGAAAGAACAGAGATTCTTGAGCACACAGACCTGGATTGCATGTAACTGACTGTCCTAACTGGAACACTTCTGAGAATGAAAGGGGGCTGTGTTAATCACACCAAGGAAACAGACGCAAACTGGGGCTCCGGGGCAAACAAGAGGCCTGTGTTACCCAGCTCACTACCATGTCCTAGCTGTGTGTCTTCAGGCAGGTTATATAACCTTTCTGAATTCTGCTCCTACATAAAAAGGATATCATGAAGCGCTGCTTTTCAGGGCTGGCTGCTGGATGACCTTGGCGTAGACTTGGCTCTCGACCTTTCCTCTGTCACAGAAGGTCGTTTGTCCCTGGAAGTGATCAGGGGAGTCAGCCTCAGCTCTCTGGAATCCAAGGGTCTCATGGGGATGTGCGTAAGACAAGTTCTACGGACGCTGGCCGGAGCTGAGGCGTCAAGCCTCCTGCTGAGTGTTTCTAGGGGAGGCCCCAGGTTAGACATTCCTGGTGGATGGGTCTGTCTCTCACCTTCCCTTAAGCAATGGATGTGCTGAGCATCCTCATCAGGGCTCAGCCCAGGGCAGCTCCACGGTCACTTGCCTTTGCGTGCCTCCTCTGGGGGTTGCCCACACGGACTGGTGCATTCCTTGGGGTATTTGCTCAGACTGGAGCCCAAGCTGGAGGAAGGAGGCAGCTGCGGTTTCTATGTCAGTTCCAACAGTTCCAAATTAGAATGTTTCCCTAGAGCTGAGTGAAGTCTGTTTCTGCCGCTTGTGGTTATTAGATTCTGGACAAATCAAAGTCCCCAGGCTCTGGGCCCCAGTCAGGAGGTTGGGAGAACTGTCCTGTCCTTTTATTTTGGAAATAGGGTCTCATGTGGCCCAGGCTGTGGTCAAATTCATGGCATAGCTGAGGAGGACCCTGAACTCTTAACCCAGCTAGCCTAGAGCAGAGGTGGCAGCAGCCCTTCCTTCCAGATGAGCTGCCACAGGGAATGCTGGGTCCCTCTAGACCAGAGCTCTCCTGGTAACCCTGGCTACTTGGTTCTTTGTTCCCTCTTTTCGATCCAACTGGAGTCATGGCTTGCCACCTCTGGAAGGCTTTTCAAGCCAACAGCTCTTAGCTAACTCATTTGACTAGTCTTCCCACTAAACAGCCAAAGGCTCCTGGTGGTAGGAACTAGGTGGTCCCTCAGCATAGGTATATGCCCACCTCAGTGCTGAGGTCTCAGGACAGTGGTCTGAAGGCTTCTACTTCCCTTCAAGAAGCTGGGCACTGCACATAGGACAAGCCAGCAAGCATATCAATATTTAAGACATTTTTTTTTTTTTGTAAGCAGAGTCTATTGGCTATTTCCATCCAGTACAGACTAGGTAGTTTTTTTTTGTTTTTTTGTTTTTGTTTTTTCTGTTGCTGTTGCGTTTGTTTGTTTTGCTTTCTTTTTTTGAGACAGGGTTTCTCTGTAGCGCCAGTCATCCTGGATCATGCTGGCTTCAAACTAAGAGATCCACCTGCCTCTGCCTCCCGGAGTGCTGGAATTAAAGGCCTGTGCCATCACCGCCCAACTAGCCTTTCTAAGAGAATGGATCTGTTGTCCAGGTTGGTCCTGAACTCCTGGGCTGAGGTGTTCCTTTAGCTCAGCCTCTGATGTCACTGAGACGTTTGGCTGTGTGACACAACACCCAGCCCCATTGTTGACAATTTGACAAACAAACAGCACCTCATGCTTTAATTTGTACTTTTAATTGGGGAGATCGAGTCTTTCTCACATATTTGTGGGCCATTTGAGTTTTCTGGGGGGGGAGACTCTTCTATCCACAGCCTTTGTTCTGTCTCTTCTGTGCTGACTTTCTCTTAACGATTTATAGATACTCTTTGCATATTATAGGAATTATTATGTAATATATTTTCTATTTTCTCTGTCATTTGATTTTTGTTGAGGCTGTTTCACACAAGAAGTTCTACAGTTTCACAATGTCCCATGCTGCCTTTTCTTTTGGCTTCAGTGTGTCACGTTATACTCAGAATTTCTCTAGGGTAGATGATTCAGCCATTGCTTCAGATGCTCTGAGAAACAATGGCCACCACACTTGCAGTGGCAGCAAAGAAAATGTTTATTTAAAAATAAGAACTATCACACGAGATACATTTAAATATTAATAGATAGAAGTGAAAACTTCAAATGGTGTAACAAGACTAACAGCTTTCTGCTTGCAGATGGTCAGATGCCGACAAACAAGACCTGTGTGCTGAGAGGGGCTGTTAGGAGAAGCATACGCAGGCCTAAGGAATGTTCTATTTACAGGCTGTTAGGAGAATGCATACGCGGGCCTCAGGAACGTTCTATTTACAGGCTTCGGAGGAGCCATAATCCCCAGTCTACTTGCTGCTGATGTTGCTTGAGAAGCACACGGAGCTGAGTTGGATCCAGTTACACCAGAGAATTTACTTTTAGAAGACGTTTTTCTGCTTGTAGTAAAGCCCCTAAAATGTGGCAAAGAAAATAAAATTAAAATGTTAAACAAGACCAAGTTAATGGTCTTTGTTAACTTGCTAAGAAAACAAGCATGATTTCCTTTGTCTTGTGTCTGTCTACATTTTCTGCCTGGAAATCCGGAAGGTAGAGTGAGTTTCCCTTTCTAAAGTGACTCGATTCTGTGGGCTGTGACCACCTACGGACCCTCTCTCCAGTCACACCTTCCACAACCTACAGTCAGACGCTCTGGATCTGTTCTGACAAAAGAGGAAGTGAAGACATCTCTAAAAGACCCCAAATCTCTGGCCATCAGAAACCCTAGAATTAGCGAACTGGCACAGTTTCAAGCAAGACAGCTTTGTGGGTAGTGGAGATGGGCAGAGCTTCTGGGCGGCCACTTCCTAGGCACAACATGGATCTTGCTCTGTAGGGAGGGACAAAGTTGCCTCATGCATTGGTCTGGCATGTGTCCGGGCCACGTAGCCAGCAGCAGCTCCAGCTATACCCAAAGACCAGCCAAGTCTTCCTGCTCACTGCCTCCTGCACACAGGGAGGAGGGTCCTGCCATAGCCTGAGCTGAGTCTGTGTATCATTTCTTTGTTGACCTGTGGATAGCAACCCTGCCAGTGGGTTTACAGAGACAGTGGGCAGCCCCTTCAGAGGCTCTGCAAATCCACTGAGGTCCACCATCAGTTCTAGAATCCAGGGCAGTCGATGGCATTCCAGGGCACACTGCTGGGGCTAGGTAAAGAGTTTTTCAACATTTTAAACCTCTTGCTGGAGGGAAGGCAATTTCACTGCAGATCTGGCAGAGAAGCAGCCTGAAGTTTCCCTATGCTGACTTCCTTCTGAGAAATGAAGCCTGGAGCAAAAACCTGCTGTTTATGTTGATTTACAGAATGAATCTGCCAACAGCAGCCTCCATTTCAACGGCTCATCCATTTTCCTCCCACTCAGAGAGTTTAGAACACACCTGGCTCATTGTGTGTCATTCTGGAGATGTGAGCCCCAGTGGTCTGATGGGGTGAAGGGCTCTGGCAAGGGGCCCCAAGCAGTCTCCCACTGCACAGGTGAGCAGTGTGGGGGCTGGAAACCCTCTCAGGGTTGGGTTGGGAAACCCAGAGGATTAGAGCAGATGCAAAGACAGCGGCTAGTGACTAGTTACCGAGCTGGTAGGCAGAGACTAATTACACCTGGCATGGAAACTGGTGCCGGCTGTAGGATACTATGATGTTGGCTTTGTTTTCTGAGAAGGTGTCACACAGCCCAGACTGGCTTTGAACTCGGTATTACCTTGAATTCTCATCTTCCTGCCTCCCACCTCCCATGTGCTAGGGTTAGAGGCATGGCCTTTCACGCCTCACTTAAGTATGAGTTTTACTCCTTAAACGAGACTCCAGGAGACACAGCAGAGAGCTTCTTTCTCACAAACAAATGCTGTGAAAATGAAATAAAGGAGCCAGCAGCAGTGAACGTGTTGGCCTCCTTTCTTCTAACAAGCAAAGCCAGATGACAGACCGCCCACGCTTTCAGAGTCCAGACAGGCAGAAGGGAAAGCGCTCAAGCAGTTGGGTCAGCCAGTGTCCGATCCCCCTTCCCACGCAGGCCAGGCCGGTTCCCCACCCTTAACCTGACAGGGTTGGACCAGAAGCTTTTTAAGGTCTCCTGTTCTGTGAGCAACCAAGGAAACAAGCGTCTCTCCAGGGAGAAGAATAAATGAAGGAAATGAGAAAACGTCCCCACTGAAGAGTATCTGATGGTCGCTTGCGCACTTAAAACCACAAAATCAAGCCACCATTTATGAAGGCTATTAATTCTGTATTCTGGTAGAAGGGTTAGCACATGTAAGAAGTCTGTTTATGGATTTAACAAGAAAAGACAATTTGGTGACATTGCCTTCTTTTCTCTTCCCCCACTTAATCTTGTTTTTATCACCCAGAAGGAGAAGAGGCAGAAAAACTGCAAAAGCAAACACAACAGCTTGCAAAAGTCACTGCAGCTTTGTTTCCTCCTTTCTAAGCAATTCTGTTACAATACGCAGTTCTGTGGGGCCCACCATATCTGGATCAAAGGCAAAGATGCAATGCAGAAGGTGGAGGACACCTGGCATAGGCTGGGAGAGGGGCTGGTGGACATGGTCCAATGGGGAGAAACAAACCTGCTGCCAAGACCTGGCCACTCTACCTGTTTCTCCCTGTGAAGACATGTTGTAGCCCAAAGCCGAGCAAAGGGAAGGGCAGGGAAAACAGAAGCCACTTACACAGCCCTAAAGAAACCTGGCTTGCCTGGCTTTTGGATTTCCCCATGTGGTATTTTCTCAGCTACCCTGCTAAGGCTAGGTAGGAGCCACCTCTCCAAGTCACTGAAAGCAAGGGGAAGGCTGAGATGTAGTTGGGCTGGCAGGCTTGTTTAGCATGCAGGAGGCAATGGGTTTGATCTCATCACTGCATAAACCATATGTGACGGCCCATGTAGCTAATGTCCACTTTGGAGGTGGTGTCAGGAGAAGTTTAAAGTCAGGGTCATCCTCGGTTATAAACCAAGTTCAAGGCCAGCCTGTGACACGTGAGACAGCAGAGAGCCCAGAGAATCCTGCAGTCACAGAGGAAGTGTAGCCAACACTGGAAGCTCACAAAAGCCCCATTATTATTTACTCAGTGTGCATGAGCTGTGTTTTGGGTGGAAAAGTACCTTAAGAAGAGTAATTACCTCAAAACAAACAAAAATTCCAAGGTTAGGTCAAAGTTTGAGAAGTTTTTGTAAACTCTGAAATAGATTATTTTAAAAATCTGAAGCCATGCTTGTGTTTTGGTTTGGGTCTTAACCATCACCCATTACCTAATCATGGCTAATTTAAATAAGTTCTTTGACTAAACTAGAGCATTTATGTGCACCTCTGCTCTTTTCCCCCTTCCACCGATACTGCAAAGGACATCAAAGACCATACCCCTTTGCCTTGAAGCCACCGTTACTAGCTCTCCTCCTTTTGGGCCGTTGGAAGGCTGGCATTTTCTTCCTCTTTCTTTCATTTCTAGTTTGATTTGCAAAGTAGTGAGAAGATACAGGCTCCTCTTCGTCAGCCTCCTCTGGCGTTTTCCTCCCGGGGCAGCTCATGCCTGGGGAGCTGTTCTCAGCTGCAGACAGGAAATGCAGACATTTACAGGTGACCCTGAGTTTGGAGCCCAACACTAGCTGCTTTCCTGGTGCTTCCCCGCTGAACGGATTCAACAACTCAGCAGGAATCAAATACTTCTAGTTTTAAAAGCTCAAGTGTATTAAACGGCAATTTATATCTAATAAAAGAGAGTCAAAATTCATTACTTAAAAAATTTTGTGATAATATTTAAATCAACTGGAGATGTCAGGTTTAGTTCACACTCTGCTGCATGAGGCCTATGTCCATTTTGCACTGTGTAGCTGCACAGTGAGCTGAAGTGAAGGATGCCACAAGAATTAGCTGATTTTATTCATCATTTTAAACATACTGAGAAAATAAGTCCAATATAAAAAGGCAACAAATCCCTCATCTTTAAGCAACAGTCTCCTAATAATAAACACACCAGAAAATTCAGTACCATATTTTACTCCTTGCAGACGGATGCCATTTCTTTGCATAATTGTTAGGAATACTTTACATATCAGGCTAACAAGCAGGAACCTGGCCTGATGGAAACATCTGCAAGGGAGAAAGTAATTTTCATAGGTATTTGCATCTTTTGTTTTGTTTTGTTTTTCAAGACAGAGTTTCTCTGTGTAGCCCTGGCTGTCGTGGAACTCACTCTGTAGACCAGGTTTATCCTTGAACTCATAGAGATCCACTTGCTTCTCTCTGTCTCCTGAGTGCTGGGATCAAAGGTATACGCCACCACTGCCCAGCTCTTGTTTTCTTGACTGATGAAGGAGTCCAGCCCACCTTTGGCTAAGCTGTCCTTGGGAAGGTGGTCCTGGGGTGTTGTACAGGAGGATAGGCTGAGCAAGTCAAGTATGGAACAAGCCAATAAGCAGTGTTCTTTCAGAGCCTCTGCTTCAGCTCCTGCCTCGGCTTCCCTTAGTAGACTATGATGTGGATATAGAAACCAAACAAACCCTTCGCTCCCCAGCTGCTTTTGGTCCTGGTGCTTACCCAGCAGTGGGGACCCGACTAAGACAGCAGGCCTACTGAGGGTGATAACTTACTGTGCGGCATAAGCCGCCCTCTCTCTCAGTTTCCCTCAGCCAGTGGCTCCTACACCAGTGCTGGGGCTTGTGAAGAGACATCACAGGACAGACCTAATGCAGCCTTGGGAAGCTCCGCTTTGATGTCCTCACTGAGTCAGGCTTGTGTTCCAGTGACATGTTCATTTTCCCAAAGCACTTAAGCCCAACTCTTACATGTTATCTTAGACATGCTTGTTAGATAACATGTTCCTTCCTCAGATAAGGACACTGAAGCACACGGAGGTTGCTGGTATCCTGCCAAAGATCACATAGTGAGATGATGGTAGATCTGGAATGGGTCCCAGAGCCTGTGACTCCCTGGGCACTTGCCTTACCAGAACACTGTGCAGGACTGAGGGCTCAGAGGTTCCCATCTGTCCTCCATTAGTAGCTTTATTTTTTTCTTTTCTTTTTCTTTTCTTTTTGAGACAGGGTATCTCTGTGTAACAGTCCTAGCTGTCCTGGAACTCGTTTTGTAGATTAGGCTGGACTTGAACTCACAGATATCCACCTGCCTCTGCTTTTCAAATGCTGGGATTAAAGGTGTGTGCCACTACCGCCTGGCTCCATTAGTGGGTTTAATGACTGGCTTCCCTGGGGACCTAAACACCATATCCTCTTGGGGGTGCGTGCCACACCATGAGGGGCTGCTCCTAGAACCTGGATTCCAGTGTGACAGTGGACAGTGTGGTGTAGGATGCATTAATCACATAATTAAATTCAGTGAGATACATTGCTTAACACTAAAATAGGCTTTTAGAAAACACGTTTGGTGGGATACTGAACCTGGCAGTGTCCATTCTGAGTATTTCTGTAATATTGGAATCACTTCTGCACCATATTTTTCCAGCTTGTCTTCAGTAACACCATCAATCTGAAGCAAAACCTC